CAAGGACATACCGGGTATTGCTAGCCCCTGGTCTGTGAATTGAGATATCCATGTTTAGGATATTCCTACCGAATGAACATTACTAGCATAACCGAGTTCACACAGCTCATCCATTTTATTCAGTAAACTCGCGGAGTGAATATACAAGCGGTTTGTGATTTCAATTTGAAATACGTGAGCTTCTCCATCTTGTTTAACTGTATGAGCCTTGTGTGAATGGACACGTAGCCTATATATACAGGTTTTTCCGAGTTAACAGTCAGTATTGTCCTGGCCAGATACCGTAACCGCTCACATCTCTCCTTTAGGGATTTTGAGTGCAAAATTATAAAAGAAAAGGTGATTTAATAATTGTAGTGCTTCGTGTCTAGTCAGAAAATACTTTGTTTGCTTGGGAAGCATGCGGAGTATCTGAAGTGTTGAGTTAAAAGAGAATACAAAAAGAGTTAGTTGATGTTACGTCCTTGATCTGTCTACCCACTTCTGTTGCTGAGGATACTTATCTAATTCAGATTAAGACCTTGGCGCGATAGACTGACCGACCTAACCTTGAGGCTAGTACGCGGGAGTTTGGAATGGGGTACAGAGAAGAAAACTATTCTGTCACATGATTGGCCGACAAGCACACGAATGAGAGAAGACAAGACAAGTGGAACACTACTCGATTTATTCCCGATATCTTGATTTCAGATTAGTGTAAAAAAGTACATGAATAAATAGGTGACCAACCCGACCACCACGTACAATAATTAGGGAAAATACAATTATATCCAAAGCTGGGAATTAGAGTAGAAAATAAAGTGCAAAATATTATGTTTAAATTACATTAGCTTCGGAGCAGAAAAGGGTATAGCTATGTGGCGACTAATATTTTAGAATATAAGAGAGAGATATTAGATATTGAATAAAATCCCCACAATCGAATGACAGATTCTTGGAAAAAGTGGATAATTTTGGTAACAGTGGGATGACGACTGTGTCTTTCTTGGAATTAATATAGCAATAATGAAAATATGTACGATACAAGTTAGTGGATATTCTATACGTTTAAAGGTAGAAGCATGCTGTTATAAATTTTTAGATAATAATAGTAAGGATTTAACTTCACCACGCCTTGTCAAAAATGAATTTCAGGTAATTCCTGCCGAACACTGGTTACATAGAGAATATAGCTGACGAATTCGTTATACTTAATTCCGTTTCTCGATAATTTGATATGGCTTCTTTTGAACCTTTTATAACGGTGATTAAGACGTACATCATTCCTCGAACTTAAATCCACAATAAATTTCCAACACTTTCGAATAAAGACATCAACCTCATATCGAAGGCCACAAGACACGAGACAGACTCACAGTTGCAATAATGTGTACCAGATCACGACGGTCTCACCAATGATGATGTCACAGGTATTCAGTGTTTCACAACGCTTCTACCAGTAACACCTAATATGATTTGTACCCACCGAGAGAAATCAAAAGACAGATTCGAGGAGATCGGAAGAGTGTATTTGGCGATTACCAATATATCGGAATTCTCTGATCTAATCTGGCTAGCGATTGCGGTTGATGTTGAGCACGGCGTTACCACACGTGATCTGGTACGGATGCCTGACCGAGCGCCTTCAGCTAGATGAGTCCACTAAAACATATGGTCAGCATCCAATGTCGAAAACTTACAGGGCTATTTATTTTGGGGATTTACTTACCGCTACACACTCGTCAAACGTTACAGAGCCATGACATAAAACGCAAGATGTTCGACTCAGTAAGCTATGGTTTTTCTCGTTTAGCTACACAAAAGTGAAGTAGCTTCGCCACAATCTACAACGAATTCTTTAGTCGAAATCTTTTAACAAGACAATCCCACATGACAACCATCATGATGATCCGCTAGGAAATTCATCAGAAGGAAAGTACTCGCGCGAAATCCCATTTTTCCTCACTACGCATCTGTGATCTAGTTAATCTTAAGATAGAAACTCGTGGATTGTGTGAATATGGAAGTACAATGAAGGATAACGTGTCTGTTATTATGAACTAAGTAATGGCAATTTCCTGTTCCTCGAATAGTTGAGAATGATAAGAATATCCATGAAATGGTGCCTAGGCCAACCTACAAGGAATATCTGCCCATGGTATGTTTCGTGTTATAACAGTTAATATAATTCATTTCATCGTTAAAACTGTTTAGTGTATCTAGACAGCATTCTCTCTTCGTAAATTCCAACTCTCAAATTCAAAAATGTTTCTAAAATTCATATGCAAAAGGGTGGTAATTAAAACCAAATCATATCATAGCTGATCTCAGTTCATATTGAAAACAATAACCCTAGTTTGCGAACCGAGCTCACAACTATTACTAAACTCCTGAGACCTAATCCTTCAAATTACAGCTAAAGTCAGTTGGTGACAAAAACCTCATAGGATTATGACGTGGGCTGATGACATTACCCGACGTCCTAATTTGTAAGAATAACCATTTTCACTTACCATAAAAAGTAATTCAGAACAAGAGTTGATTATTCTGGTCAAGGCTACTACTTTACCGTTATTTTTCTACTTCTGTTGTTAATTATTTCACAGCTAAACATTGATTCCTGATTAGATGACAAGTCGCTGAAGATCGTCATCATAGTTTACTTTTATCACAATAGTGTGACAATAACAGGCTATTAAAAGTTACACTTAATTTGTTTCTTAATTACGTTACACTGAACTATCTAATCGTTATGTTTTGTGGATGTTTATTTCACGTGGCAAACCTTCATTCAGAATCCAAACTGATATGACTTAGTATTTCTGAGTTGACCTACTACACGTCCAACTAGCACTAGTTAACTCCTAAGTCTCTAATGAACCTCAGTTTTGTAGCTTCTTACCTTCCCTTGCTCCTTGAGTCCAGAAGTCAGTAAATCAGCCTCCATCACAAAATTATATTCTAAGCAGATGTAGTTTACATACGACCATACAATATCACATTACACCATAAAGTGAAAAGTAAGTATACATTAACGACCGAAAAGTGACTGTTAGTAGGAGAGACAGTAAGTGAGAAAACTGACAACAGATTAGGAATGGTAAATCTTATAACAGTAGTTAGTGAGTTAATCGAAAGTTTAGAATAAAAAGAATATATATAAAAAACAACTTAATTAATTATCGATAAGACGTTAATATATTAAAAAAATGTTTGCAAATTAGTCCTGGAAATTGCCATTCTTTTAATCTTCGTCATAATATAACACCACTATCCCTTAATACTATTACCTAACATTACATGTTTAACAATCTAAGTTTTATTCCGTTGTTTATTTATTTAAACTATTTCATCTCTCTTGTACCTGTCACAATTAATGTGTATTTCAACATAGAATGACTAATGGGATCTCGTCATGACGAAGTGATATTTACTAGTATCAGTGGCATCTTCTGGCAATTGAAACAGGTACAAAAAGTAGGAAGAAAACTTAGTGAGACTATAATTTGTGGACGATCTTAGAATAAATCTTGGGTGACCCAGAGAAATGTCAGGCAATCGGAAAAAAGTTGATATAGTGTTTAACAGAAAGCCAAAAAAAAACTCTAAAGGATGGACTTCTTTATTATGATTTTAAAACTTATGGATGTTAGGTATAGGTTCTGCTGTTATGAAGTCATAATGCGTACGGTACAGAAACTCACCGAAGTAACTTCATAACGATCGACCTCTGGAGCGATGATAAAGTCAGAGAAGTTATTCTAGCCTAAATCGAAACGCTACTATGTTGTTGGAGTTCATCAGTGGTGGAGTCTACAAGATGTCTTTTGTGAACGACGAAATGGTGTGTGTGTCTAGGCGTTGATAGGGACGAGTATATCCGCTAGTCGTCCGTATACATACCGGTACTAAGGTGGGCATACTTTTGTACAATTGGTACCAATGTTGTAGCCTTTTAGTTTATGGCGTGTTGGGAATGTCCCTTTTGCAGTATTTTATGACACATATATAAAACATGCTAAGTGAATTTAAGGAACTGCTGCTCACTCAGTCTTCTTTCGCACCTCTTCCTTTACTAAATTTGCACTTTCGGATGACGGCTTCACTCATTTCTGTCAGGTGAACACTGCAATAACAAATAACCAAGATTCCTGACAATCCCACCTTTTGTAAGCACTCAATTATAACATTCATAGTAAAATGGTCTTAGGTAAGCGCTTGGCATTAGAATAAGTGTCGCGATCTTGAGATCGCTTTCTCAGTTCTGACTGGCTCGTTCAAAAATCACAGTCAAGAAAGGAACCTAGATCGCAACTTACTTATCACCCAAATCATTGCAACTTGGTGGTTAGAAAAACCCCATCGGATCTAACCAGAGATCTGCAACTGTCCCTTGCTTACATGAAGATAAGGTAGCTAAGAAACCAATTGGTTTACACTAGCTCTGTACCAGAACATTAGAAGAGCATGAAGTTTCAAATAGCTACTCCAGTCGGTTTTAGGTTACCTTCTAAGGGATGGATATTGAAATTATTTCTGATAAACATGCTTCTAACTGATAGGGTAAATAACATTATTGACTGATGGTAAAAATTGATATGATGTAACCTCAATGGCAACTAGTCACGAGATCAAGTCCACTAAGTTGTCAGTATACATAGTCGGCTGCTTATAAATCAAAGCTTTTGATTTTATATTGTGCGCAACCAAATCATAACAAACCATTAGCAGGCATAAAACGGTGTCGGAATTTGAGCATCGTTTAATAATCCTTTACACAATAACTGACCTAAATTTGCAATTTTTCTGAATATTTGGATCTATTAATAAATCGTTTTACGGAAGTATACATTCTTGACTACACTTATCTTCGACACTTATTCACAAAACAGAAAGACTTTATTTTGGATGAAAACATCCAAATATAATAATAAATAATGTTTTCAATTGAATCTTGAATAGTGTAAATCATATATAATAACTGAAGCTTAAAAAGTAATAATATTAAACATTAGTCTGGTTTATACTCTTCGTTTCATTAATTGTTCACGGCGAATCTAAACAACAGAAAAACGGATGAAAAATTGAGAAGAATGAAAAGATTCAACTTAATTACGCATCTAACGTAGGAAAATTTAACAAATCTTAGAAATAAAACTAACCGGTGGTATCCTTAATGGTAGTACAGTTCCATCATCAGATAGCAAATATAATAATGAAATTGTTTTTATTGTTGTCCCGTAGTTTATTTGCTAAGGACTAATATTAAGTTACAATTCAAGTGGTAAGATATTCTACTGCAATGAGAAACAACTTTAGAAACACTTCAACATATGAATTGTTTGAATATATAAAATTGTTATTATAACACACCGAAATTTTCACTCACCAGTGAAAGATTTACATTGTTGAGAAAAGAAACTTACACGATCAAATTCTTTTACACGTTGGCGATTTGCATGAGCCTGCTGATGACGATCGTAATTAAACAAAACTGTGTCATTCCGTTCGTATGATTTAGATGATGACACCGGTGTGCACGATATGGTACTAATTCTTTTAACACTATGGCTGTCTGATTTTGAAACATGAATGGAAACATCAGGAGGTGGTATTGCTGAAGTCAACGGAAAATTTACATTATTAGGATGTCCAATGACTGGTGTTGTTGGGTCGTCACTAAATTCAAGTAAATGACCAAAGGTCAGGGAGACAACCAAATAGCTCAGAAATATTTAGACAAAAAAACATTATTCGAGAACATAATTTAAATATATATGATCATACTGGCAGTGACTTACCTGAAAAAATAAGTACTTGAGTAATACTTAAAAAAATTTGACTAAAACAAGCTTTTCCGTCTAAGTATTAATTAACATTATTATTAACAACTTAGGTTTAAACTATAATCAGTTACCTCAGACAGTAACCTTTAAAGTGTGTTATGAATCCCAGATCCACAAGAAAACACCAGTATTTTATTAGACCAGTAATCTAAAGTTTGCAGCACAAAATGGCAACATACCACTAAATGAACTAGCCACGGATGACACTAACTGTTATTATTAATTATTTCAAGCACATAAGTGATTAGTACTTCTGTAATAAAGATTTAATAACTATCAGTATTATGAGATTAAACTTTTTAAATTGTTTTAATAGTCATAAACTATCACGCATACAAATAGTTGATGAGCCTATTGACTTAATGTGTATCTGTGTGTATGTTTGGAAATTGTTCAATATCAGGTTAGTTTTCATCACGAAACTGACATAAGACGGAAAATAACTGAAGATGAAGAATCTGATAGTCCACATTTACAACTTCAGTCAATTTGTGGTACTGTACAACAATCATATATTAGTGCCGTCAATGATATCTGTCTAGCTTTTAACATGGTTGAACTTATTCGGTCATCGTGTAAATGGTACAGTGTAACGGTTTGAATATTTAGACTTGTGAAAATGATGATGCGATTCAATTTGAGTGTAAAATCAGATCGTCCCATAGTCTCTTACACAAATATGATTCATAATATCAGTTGAAATATTGTGATCCTGAGTGAAATAAAAAGACTTATAAATGATATCCACTGTTAACTAGAATTACTATGATAAACGAAAACCGTCACCCAACATTGCATACTAGAGAATTCTGATACTGAGTAAATATATCATCAACAGATGTCATGTTTATTTTTTACAACTAAAAGTTATATAAAAATAGAGTAAAAGTCATTGTACAACCAAAGTAACTTGAAAATATTACAAACATATCAATATTAAATGAATAGTTTCATTAAGTTAGTCAAATAAAACAGGAAATCTGGTACGTGTGCACGTCGGTTCAAGTTGCCATACCCCATTAGCAGAGCAAGATGAAGTTCTTAAGGTAAACCCTAGAGTAGTAGAATTAGTAACAGTGTTAATGGTATAAAGATTTAGAAAAGAAATATCACAGGTAGACAATACAGACTACTTAATACAAGTTACTGATACTCGAGTAGGTAAACAGTGATAGAAATAGAGAGAATACAATTGTGAACAAATTTAAATAAAATGGTAATTTCATCTATTATGTTAAAGTTCGACACATAATCTGCATAGAATGATGTAAGACAAATACTCCTAAATACAACTTACGGAACATTCATTTCAGATACTGGTTCAATAATCGACAAATCACCGGAACAAACTGCTAGAGGAGGATGTGAAGTACCAATTCCTGGAAGACAAACCACCACTGGTTGATCTTTATTCACCATAGCCAAATCCACCGAAGTTTGATCTGCGTTATCACTTGAGGGCGATGATTTGTTGTTTTCAAGTAGTTGTTGATCATCTAAAATGATTGTTAAGTAAAGTAACAAGTTATGAAGAAAGGAGGTACCCGAGAATCGAAATTTCACAGGAAAGACACCCTTTGAGTGATATCAAGCCTTGTAGGGATTCACTAAGTACAACATAAAAATAAAAGTTAAATTCAGTAGATGATAGTATGACAACAACAACAAAAAAAAACAAAATTATTGATCTATCATAACTGATGACCGATTCGGTGGGATAAGATTGAACAAACATGGTACATTTTTCCGATTTGAGATACATACTTAAGTAAATATTATTGTGTGTAACGACTTGGTTATATAAGAATAATTTACGGCATTTCTTCATAATCAAATACGCAGACAATTTTACAAAGTAATATAAGGTGTAATATGTTATCATTGTATGCGATGAATTATTCACCATGCTGGAGAGCATACTCTTGTGACTAGTAAACAGTTTTTACATTTGATAATAAAATAAATTTATTCAAATTAAAGTCATATTAGATATTTGTTCAAATATAAAGCCTACAAATGCATTAATTTTCAATTACCATTCTATTTTTAATAGAATAAATATATGTACCATTCACATTAGGCTACACGAAAAACAACATAGAATTGAATTTGTGTGTATAATTACAAGTCTGTTCTGATAAAAAGATTCTTTAATTATTGTTCACTTCAAAAACTAATGTTTTACAAGTCTTCTTGATCAATTATCAGAAATGTCGTGATAAAATTAATAGAAGTTAGTACATATCCATTTATATATATATTCTATTATGTTTCTAGGAAGTAGGCTATCAAACTATCAATCATCAAGTATAAACAAGTAAATTTGGGTTATATTATTGATTTGTAATGATTAAACGTGAAATAACGATTAAGAATACCAAGCATACCATAAATGAGAACGAGCGCTTAGTTCTATTTCGGACTCACAAGCTGGATATAACTCCATCCCACTAGAGATGTTCATGTCGGGACTTGAACGCCCAACGCGTTATCCACTAAGCTACTAAGTTCACAGAGACACTAACTTATGCAACAAGTATGGTATTATTATTATTATTATTACTATTATATTATTACTATTACTATTACTATTACTATTATTATTATTATTATTATTATTATTATTATTATTATTATTATTATTATTATTATTATTATTATTATTATAGAAGACTTGATTCAGTCCGTCTGTTGATAATTTTGATTGAATCCTTAGTCACATACATTTATGTCAATTAAGACACATCAGAAATTCAGTTAACATTATCAACAATAGGATAATTTGAATTCTTTCTGATAACTTAGATTAAAATGAATTTTTATATCAATAGATAGTTAGCTTTATTATTCACAGATTTTCAGGAGAATAACTTTGAGAATGTTACTCAATGATAATGATGACGAAAACAACAATAACAAAATATAGCTGGATTATTCGATCATATACACTTATTACGCTTTCTTCTTTTTAACTTCAGTTTAATTTTGTAGATTATTTAACATTAAAATCTTTTTTTCTTCATTTAAATGCATGCAGGAATGAAGAATCCGCACTCCCACGGTTGAAGAACATATGGAACTTAAAACAACTGTTGACCAATATCGAAGTCAGAATCTTCAACATCAACGGTCAAGGCAGTTCTACTTAACGGAGCTGGAACTTGAAGAACTACCACAACTATCATCAAAAAGGTACAAGTATTTATAAACAATTTTCTACGCAGGATACTCAGTGTCTGTTGGCCGGATGCCATCAGGAACAACCTACTATGAGAGAGAACAAACCAGCTTCAAGTTGAAGAGGAAATTAAGAATAGACGTTGTACGTGGAAAAGACATATATTGATGAAATCATCAAACTGCATCACGAAGCAAGCCCTAACTTGCAATCCTGAAGAGAAACGGAGAAGAGGAAGACCAAGGAATTGGGAAGCGGACATCAAAAAGGATGAATAGCAACTGGAAAGGACTGTACAGGACAGCGTTAGATAGAGAGTGATGGTGGGCAGTCTATGCTCCTCCATGAGGGGTAGCAGGGGAAAGTAAGTAAGTAATTAAGAATAAAGAATCATTGTTATTAATCATAAGGACGATAAATGTTTATACGGTTGAAACGGATTACAGGGAAGATGAGAGGAAACGTTAATTACGATAACAATTTATACAATACATATAATAATAAAAAATTAAAGTGTATATTAAACAACTTACTCTTGATTTGAATGCTCCCAGGAATGCTTTTCAAGTTAATAATATTATCAACATTATCATCTGATATAAGTGGAATATTATTGTCTACATCGATTGAAATACAATTCGTATTTGTTTTCGGAATGACATTATTTGTTGAGATTGCCATTTCATTATTACGTGATTCTTGATAACATTTTAAGCGTTTCTGTTGCCATTGTATTAGTTCCATTTGTAATGCTTTAGCTTGATTAAAAGGATTTAATTTTGTACAATTGTAGGATTCAGAAGTTTTAATTTGTTTACTAGATAATCTAGTTGAATTCGATGTACACACTGGTATGGATGGAAGCTGTTTATTATTGACGAACAATTTGGTAACATTAGCCGACTTCAAAGAAGATTTACGAGTTATTTGGGTAGTTGAGGATGGAATGTTAACATTTGAGGGTTTCTAAGAAAAATATAAAGGATAGTTCAAAATAAATAAGAAAAAACAAAACAAAATTGATGCAAAACTAGTCTTTAAAATCTTTCAGTTATCAACAAAAACCTAAATTACTAGATACAGAATCGAAGATTTGAAAACGATTTGATTAATATTGAGCAGAGGAAGATATTAGCTTGCAGTCAGATTTGGATCAGTGTTTCTCCACACTTGGTACTTATCAGCTGTATGTGCCTGAATGTCAAATCTAATGTTCACATTAGGACTCAAACACTAAAATGAATTAAAATCCATACAGGTGATTGATTTGAACACATAAATACTGGTACAAGGGGGCAACAGATATATATGCGCCACAAAAATCTCACTTGATTTGTGCGAGGGCTGTGATATTGTCCGGGTGCCCAGACCGAAGCAGGAAGTTTTCTTAGGGGGCCACACACAGAGCCTTAGACATAAAGGTCTGATCAACAAGGCAGTGGAGCAACGTCAGGGGATGCAGTCCCATGGTAGTTGGTGACCAACGATTGGTTCATACGCCATTTGTTCCCTCAGGATACTGGAGCCCATGTGCACCATTGGTTTGGAATCAGGGTTTTCCAACTCCCCTAGATGGACTTTCTATGTCCACCAACCCGGTTAAAGCGTTGGACATTCGCTTTTCGTCCTCTCAATTTTGTAAACAACACCCCCACCACGAGAAGGCGGTGAGTAGGACTTCCCTGGCAGAAGCCATATACGCGTGGCCATGTGAGAACATTTCGAGAGGGAGAGCGGACTCTCCCTACTCTCGGCCGTACCAGGGCGTTTGGGGGCAATTCATACAGATTGCCCAAGTGGCCATGTAGACTCAGTAGTCAAGTCGAGAACGCGTCGAAAGGTAATAGGTTTGGGTGCCGGAGTGAACGTTAATACTGAGATGCAGGTACAAGAAACAGATACGTCCTGGATTCCATTGCTAGCTACTATTCAAAACCATATAGAATGCTTGTAAATTGATGGTAATATTGAGGCAATATACACAAGATGCACATATACAAAAACGGATTGATCGATTGAAGTCCTTTACATTGACTAATTATTTAGATGCATTGCATTCTACATTGATCATGAGTTGAACTGATAATTAAACAAAATATTTAATACCATAAGTAAAAATCTCAACAAATGCTGCTTGGATCATCATTCAATTTGAAACGCACAATAAATATTCATCAAGGCCGTTTTGCAAGTATTCCTTAACTTGACCAGACACCAGCAAGATCTACAAAGTGATTCACTCATACCAGTGCAACGAAAAAAGTGGACCGTCCTATTTTTCACAGTCACTAACGGAAGTTAGTGGTCAATATAACCAAATATTATTTGCTACGCCAGGCTATTTCGTAAAGCTCGAACGTACTCCTTTTTACGACAAATCAATGTAATTTACAGAACCACTGAACAAGTATTTTTTCTAAATTTGCACTTCTCAGAAGTGTGCACTAATGACTGCATGCAGTATTTAAAACAAGACCTTTACGTATCATAACGAGCACAGCATCTTCGGATTACTGAGCTGGAACGCACCAGTACACATTTTTAAGTTTAATCAAATTTTTATATTGCGCCAACCTCATTCGTTGTCGTCGAAAAACTCCTATCTCATTTTCCCCTAAATTCATTGCAACGATCACGATTTACCACTAAAACTCTAAGAAATTTACTCCAGAGGAGATAGTCCTTATTGTAAAAGAACTTATTTTAACAGTTTCTGGTTTATTTTAAGCAGAAAACAGTATACAGAAAAAGGTGTTACCGACAGCGATACTAGACGAATATAACAGAATAATAGGTCACTGAATCATAATTGAAACTGTTATTATGTTAACCCATTTAATATAAGATTTCCAATTAACGCTGTTTACTTAAATAGGCAACTCTGACTCTCCATAATTCCCAGATATTAATATCCACTAATTTACCTATTAGGCGCATCATGATTTATTCGGAAGACTACATAATCATGTCATATGTCAGATGGTTGGAGGTAGTCGATAGGAAATCCTGCACCTAGTTTTAGTGCTATTTGGTACTCAACAAGGTGCACCCACACAATCCTGAGGGAACTGGTTGACCCTGGAGGATTCGATTACGTGTCATACAATTTCACAATCTAGGACGTGGCTAATGAACTATTCAGGCCACTACTGACCTTATGCGGGGCAATGATATTTACAACTGACTGACCACTGAAGAGTGACACCTCAGACTGTGAAGCTGGGTGACACGACATTGAATCCACCAGGGGGAATCAGTTACATCAAGATTACTGGTACGCCTGGCTGACAAGTGCCAAACAGCATTAAATCAAGGTTCAAGGTCTCTTAAAACTTACATCCAATCACCACTTTACGTCTCAACATAGTGCACGTGATGTCGAGTCACTGAGACTAAAATGCCACATTAAGATTTAATCGATAGAATTCAATCAACACTAGACAAACATGTCATCCGACTACTATTCAGTGGTCAATTAACTCAAAAATGAAAAAATAAGACAATCTATATAGAATAAGTGGATTGTGGATAGTAGTGGCACCCAGGAAGCACATTTTAGATCATTTAGGACTCATTAGTCGGACGGGACGCGCATCGTGGGTTCCAGAGTTAGATATAATCCATCTGCTCCACAAAAACTTATAAAAAATAGCTACATCATGGCATTCTGAACAAGAGGAATAAAAATTCAGCCAAGAATATCAGCAACGGGACAGGCTAAACCTTTTCTAATAATGATAGAAGGGAGACAAGTTATTTAGACGTCAAATAATGTAATAATAATGTAATCAATTCAGTAACCGAACACAATGCGGATCTTAAATACAAGGTTGATCAAAAAGTAAGTTTTTACTTTTCGAAGCTTTTACCGATGTGAATCAGTTAAGCATAAACAAAATAGAGAACGACAAACGTTTCATTATTTTGATCGATCATGTAAGTTATACGTAAGTGTAGGTAGATGAGTCGTCAAATAGAAAAAAAAGCCTAAAACTACTACACTTATTGATAATCAAAGTGTTAACTCGGTTGACTTTAAATAGCACCAGCTACTTAGAGGCTGCTAAGAAAATGTTAACTAGTAAAAGAAGACAGTCACCAAAATGCAATCAGTTGCTGTAAGAAGTAGAAGGGTCTATCTGTGGGTTTTAGGCGATGACAGTAAGGCGAAAAATACATCATAGACTGAAAACGAATGAAAAGAGCAAAGTTAATAGGAGAGCTGTTAATATTCTTATTTAGGTGAAGCACTAAATTTTCGATTTTTCAACTAGATGATGAGAGAGTGTAAAATTGTCTCGAACTAGAAATATGTGCATGTTACAAATAGGTTCATTGATCTACTGAGTTATATTTAATCTGAGTTGAATTAAACTCATTTTCTAAATGACGCGTAAATCAAATAAAAAAAATCTATCATGTATTGTAAGCATCAGGTAGCTTTTTATTTTATTCTCTTGTTGCTTTTCAGTGTTAAATAGAGAATAGTCTGCGAAAATTAGCATTATGTTTAGGCTAAAGCAGGAAGACTTAAAATACTTTTTTAAAAGCAACGTGGACTTACACTTTTCATAGATCTTTGTCCGTTTGGAGCCATACTCTGAACAATCCCACTGCGTGTGGTTCTTTGTTTAGACGAATTACATACAAATGAATCTAGTTTCCTCGTATTTGAAGTTTTAATTACAACGCGGTTAGAATTTATGCGATCGCGTTGATTATTCATAAAGTCTTTTATTGTATGTTTACTTATTAAACATTTACTATGAGTAATTGTTGGTTTCTCAGTTGTTTTTTTGTTATTTAAAGTATCAGTAGGTGAAGAGACATTTTTAGCGTCAACATTATTAGATAATGTGTCGGGAAACTGATTTTTAAAACCACCTACCGTAAAAAGAAATAAAGTATTTGAAAGAAATACTGAATAAATCTGATAGCATTTTTAAACTCAGGATCTAAGATGAGACAAAGAATGAATGGATCTGAGCCATTTCGACCGATTCTCAGCCATATCATTGAACGTCCATAATCGCGTGGACCTCAACTAGGCAATATCCAGCGACCAACATAGCTTAGTCCGATAGACAATGACTCTATTTACTTACCTCACGTCTTGGTTTAATAGAGAGAATTGAATGGGATCTTAAAATGAAACATTATTGACAACACCAAAAGAGATTAAGGAAATACGTCGTAGTTCTGTCGTTGAAAGCAACAAAGTGTATGAAACAAATGTATTATTGCTTACGTAATGCTTTCAAGCGTATTACTCGTGAGATTTATAAAATGGAAATTTATAAAGAATATTTCACGACTGCTGATTTTTGAGGATTTCTTAAAATCTATTCATGAATCACCGAGTGACCCGAATTTGTACCTATGCATATTATTCGGAAAAATACTCCGGTTATTTATCGATTGAATCCAAACTTCGCATAATCGAAATTAAACAATTCACTAATCATAAGGAGATTTGGATAGTGGCTAGTAGTGAAATTCAGGACCCGTGTTTCAATCCACTCGTTAGCTTGATGAAAACAACACTTCTTACTAACGAATTAAAATCTAGTAATTACTTTGAATATCGAAAAATTTCTGATACCACTAAAAGGATATATGTGCTTGAAATCAAATATAACACTTGTAAAAAGAATGATCTACACTATACGTGTAGGTTTGGTGAGAAAAATAAGCGATTGCTTATGAAATGTCTCCAAAAAGAATTCATCAGGTCAAAAGAATTTACGCTTCTTTTCAACTTCGACAATTATCAGTTCAATTCCTTATATTGCACGAGATGACAAAGTGGTTTATGTTTGAATGACGATAAGTAATATTTGTATTAAAATGATCTCCCATCTTGACGAGTTATGCCAGCCAGTATAAGAGTTATATGGAAAACCGATGGTAGCAGCCAAACTAAGATAATATTAGTCCACAAAAACACTGACTCCTGGAGTGAGACGTGTTGAGAAGTATAAACATCAAAGTTGGAATCTTTGAGGTAATCTAAGCCGTAAATGTCGAAACCAGTGGCAACAGTGTAGATAAATTCTGTGTTTATATTCATTTAAAATTCTAGTCGGAAGATGACTTCAGATGTTTAATTCCCATGTTCAGTCGTATCTTTTTAAATTATATGCTCTATGTATAGTCATTTTTTAGTGATCATTGTTACCATTATTATCTAAACTCGTACAACTTTCATAGTTTTATGTAACTGACTGACATTAGTTATAAAACCATTGAAAACTAGGAAGCTCTGGATAGCTCCTTGGTCCAATTGAAGGATTCCTCAACAGTTCGAATTCACAACCCCACTTGGGATTTATTTTCATTATACTGATTTTCTCTGAATATTTTGAAAATTTGAATTAATTTATAGTTGTTTGGGGCAAGTCCTTTGGCATTTGTGACTGAATAAATATTACATACTACGATATTCACAACGAACATACATAAATGCATTTCCAAAATATTATATAACATTTTACAAATAAAATAGAACATAAGATTAAGGAATTGTATGGTGTACAAGAAAAACAACTTCATACCAGCTGCAAATGTTCCTGAATTACTCAGTAGATCACAACGAACCTCATGTCGTTCGAAAGATCGTAATGAATCTGTGAGTGAGGTTTCATTTGTTTGCATAAATGTTTTGAGATTATTATCAGAAGAGCAATGCACTGTCTCAGTTTGTCTTTGATATTTTTCGCACCCATCCATACTCTCGACAAAGACAGACGGTAAAGAAGCGGAAACATTAAACTTTACATTTTGATGATAGCTAGGAGAAGATTTACTAACTGCCCCTTCAGCAGGACTAGATGGTCGAGAATTCTGAAAAAGAAACAAAATACTTGATAAATACAAATTCGATATACTAAATAAGAATACTTAGACTAGTAGGAATATAAAAGAAAGAATTTTTGTGTAATATCCTCCTCTGCATTAGCAGAAATAATTTAGCGTTTAATCAGTGGTTTGTGTTGGCTGGCACGCTGAAACATTTGTGACAGTGACTTTCTAGCCGCTTTCGACAATTCAATCAATCGATCAGTTTTGAGGTGTAAAGAAACATCGAAATACAAATATTTGATTACAGCTTTACCGATCAAATGAGTTTAAGTCCATAAATTGAGGGTTGTTTGGATGATTAGTAGCAACTTTAAATTTCTAAGCAGATTCAGGGAAATCTGGCATAATTTACCAGCTCGATCAACCAAATTTAAAAAAGGACTCAAGTCGGTTCTGACTAAAAATATCTTTGCTGCATTATTTAGCTACTTGTGAGGTGTTTCACTGTAACAATTGACATTAGTGGAGAAAAAAAGCATGAAAGTTAATGAAAACAAGTTACCCAACTGTTATCTAGTCTCTTTGATATACAAGATGACAGCTATTTACTGGTACTGGGTAAGAGTTTACCTTCAAAAAGTTTAGTAATATCAGTCACCTACAATATTATTAACGATCAAAAGCAATATAAAAAATTGTATCAGTCCCTTAATTAACTTAAAGTGTTTCGACATACACACTACGATACCTAGCTACCTTAGGCGATGTAAATTCACGGCTTTAATAACTAACTTACAATATGATTTCAGAATTGTTTAACCCACTGTCTCATCATAAGCAAGAAATGTTTTCAAGACACCTCTGATCAAATACTAACAACCTATGAGTCTTCCTTAATTTGAAAGACCATATTCAACAAAAATTAAAACAGAGAATTTTTGAATAGTATACTTGCTCTTTGATAGGTAGACGGATAACTCATATCACGTGCTGGTACGAGCAGAAGTACAGTTCTGAAATCGTGCCGAAATTTTGTCAACCAGCAACCCACTAGAGTTAATAAGACTTTGAAGGTAAATTGGGTGGCTCACGCGCTCAACTTTACTCCCTATTGTCGGATTAAATATTGACGTACACTACTCATAACATTTAAAGCTTTGTCATATCTAAACACAACAAAAATTTACAAGACCGAATCAAAAGAAAAGTAGTGAAAGTACTTGATATTTGACGTGATTGGTTAATGAACATAAACAGACAGTTATGTGTATTTTGTCACATATTTCCCTAATCTCCTTGACTGTTATGACATATACTCGTTACTTAGGATGATAACGTATTCCTGATTTGAGTCGGTTTGATGTATGAGAGAACAATCATTTTGGTTGGGTACCTAGTATTAGTGTGTGACGATGTAAACGTCATACGATGGTTCAGATAGGTTCTTCCCAAGATATCAAGCATCATGTCAGTCCTCTCGGAAGAATCTAACAGCACGTAATTATTATAAATGATTGAATTGAGACAAACCTCAGAAAGATTTTCGACGGGTATATTATCGCTTGAAATTGCGTTGATTATAACTGGCGTTTCACTTGTTATTACATTGTTACGCTGATCATCAATAGGTATTGTACATGAAACAATTTTAAGACCAAATTCCTGAACATTGAGTGTCCCATTATCTGATTTCTCTGACAAAGATGTTGATGATAATTTAGAGCCTAGACAGGGCACAATCTCATTGTTATTTGATTCAACTGGAGTATTTGGAATGTTATCAAGTAACTGTTTAATTGTATCATTTTCCTCAGATAAATGATGTGAGTAAACTTCGTTGTTTAGTACGTTCTGAATAGATGAATTGGTATTTTCATTTTTTACAGAGTTATCAGGCATATACGCCGTACTAGAATTTATTGTAGAATAAATAGATAAATTACCGAATTCTGATGATTTTCTACTATCTGTCCATGACGAAGGTGTATTCGATAGATTGTTGAAATCTGAAGTAACTTGAACAGTATGTATTGACTCTTCAGATGTTGCCTCCTCTAATCGTGGTAATGGTTTAAAACGTGCTGAATAAATCATACTTAACGGACTAATTGTTTGAGATGAAGAAAAAATTTCATGAGTTTCAGGAGATTTACTTATGCAAATTTGTTTTGAACGCAACGACGATGAATCAGATCTTGTTTCAGACCAATCAATTTCTTTGGGATCAGTTACTTCAGAGAGACAATGAAATTCTACACTTGACTTTGAATGTGATGACGATGAAGAATGAGTTTGTAATAATTTACCATTATTTAAACCAGATAAAGTAACAAGCCATTCTTTGTTAGCCTATATATGTAAAAGTGGCGAAAACATCATGGTTAGAAAAATGATGGTTACAGAAAATATAATACTGCGGTAAGTCTATGACTGGTGATCTTTATCGATCGTTTTGAAAGTAGATAAAGTTTAGGACTCGGTTATCAATAAGAAAATACAATCATTCAGTAATGGATTGGGGAATGCGGCAGTTAAGTATACGTAATAAATGTACAGACCTTAGTTAATGAATGTGTATAGCCTTAACAGACAATTTACCATCTTCATTTGGTAACTTATGCATATATTTGGTATTCTTCACTTGCCGGTTTCACATAAGCAAATCATATGAAAGCATTTAAAATCGAATATCAACAAACAGCACATGAGGCCAAACTTCAAAGTTTATGATTCACTAACAATGAAATAATATAAACGATAGCAAACGATTTTTTATCAGGTGTGAGAAAATAACGAGAAGTGCCCCTATATGAGTAGCTAAGAGTTGTCAATTAATATCATACATTCACAACTACAGGTAAGGCTCTGTATCACTTATACAACTAGATATTTTGTCATTTAACTAAAAATTGAGCTTCATTTACAACAGTGTTTATTTCATGGAAATACTGTATCGGTTCACTAAAAATTGAATATTTACAGAGATATCATTAAATAAACTTCTTTAATACAAACTTCAATGTAGCATTATTAAGAGACAAATTAAATACCAAACCCGCTATTTTAGTAGCCTATTAGGACAAATTAATAGTTAAATATAACGATTTCTATAAAAATGACTTGTGAAATATCGAATACTAAAAATGATGGTGGAAATGTACCTTGCTGAAGACCTTCAGTGAATTGTATATATACTTTGAAAAAGCAAAGCTATTCTTTAGCCGTTCAGACTAATTTGTTATATTAAAGCACAAAAGAGGTTAGAGTTAGGATTATAAATTTAGATAAGTATTTAGATCTGAGGTTAAGAATTACAAGTAATCGTTTAGAATTCTCTAGGAAAAATGTTTTCTTGCCAATACAGATAAATATTGATGCAGTTAGTTCTTTGGTTTAAAATATTAAGAACATCTAAATAATAAAGAACTCATAAATCATAGTCAGTATTCCTTAGTCATTCTACATTTAACAATTTTAAGCGTCCTTCTAATTTAAGATTAGTTGATTTTACTTAGCTCCTGATAAAATACAAACTACCCATCGTTGGCTTTGGAATTTTGTACGAAAATGTCCAATAGCCCCCCCCCACATCTTAATTCTGATTGATTTGTTAATGTATAGTATACTTTTCTCAGATTGACTGACTATACATAAACAAACAATAAGTTAGTAAATAAAATGTTCAAGAAAAATCTCATCAATAGTTGAAGCAATCACAACAGACTGTTACAATAAAAAACTTACATTTATATATTTATTCAGAATACGTTGTTTGATTGTTTTAATTAAATCACTGTTCACAGTTAGTTTATTCGAGTAATTACTGTTGATTGATTGATTATCCGCATGACCATCACAAAGAGGACGTTCGGTGGAATTTTCATTTGACTGTTGATCATTAATTGTATTATCTATTATAATAATAATAAAACAAAAATAAGTAGTCACATAAGAATTGGTAGAGAAGATTTGTAGCTAAGAAAGATGCTTTTAATGGTATCGTATTCTCTAAGCACAATGGTTTCATTTGTAAAGTTTCCAATATTCAGCGCCTACTACATGAATAGAAAAACCATTAAAATAGCCATCAATTATAAATATCCACCCTAAACTATAGAAAAAACTCAACAAATAATATTGTAATAAAATACAGTTCTATATACCTGAAAGCTTTTTTAATTGAGCATTTTTGGGCTCGATGATAATTGTGAAGGATTTAAAGAGGAAATTGAAGAAATAGATGTGGTTGGATAAGGTAATTCGGTTTCAGAAGAAATTTCAGTTGTTTGAGTTTTCGCACTAAAATAAACAATCACCATTAATAAAGCGATAAATATATATATGAATGGGTATCATGTAAAACACTATGTCGATAACCCGTATACGATGAAAATCATCTTTAAATTGTACAAACTATTCACAGACTATTCGATAATACCAAATATTAACAGTTCTATCCTAATAAATGAATTGATTCGGGCTGGATTTCCAAAGATTCTAAAGGAAAGCTATAACTTGCGGAATCAACAAACTAGGAAGTGAGACAGTTACTCATCGATTATATTGGGTCCCTATTAAATTATAACCTGTATCGACTAAGTTTAGAAATGTAAACCACTGAGTTTCAACACAGTATCGAAGGAATCTTGGTCCTATGAGATGATTTAATTTTAGGAAGCGCCTATGAATGAGGATTGGATATGAGTTCTGATTATGACTAAAAAGATATCTAGTACATTCTGATTTTTTATGATTTTGCAGTTAATATCAGTCACTGATTAGAAAAAAGTTGTCTTAATACTGAACAAAAGCTTTAAAACCTACCTACCTGTACAAATGCATATAAAAGTTACATGATTGTTAAGATAGTTGACTACGTTAGCTAGTACTTTAAACGACAGAAGTCTCACATATTATACAGAGTTATCAGTTTAGGAGTTGTGGAGATCGTTAAGTTTTTGATTGAGATCATTAACCGATTGATGTTAGACCACCACAGAGTTATCAGTTGAATTTTTATCAAAGCTTACAAAAAAGAGAAATTGTATGGAACTTTATCTTGTGTTGATGTATTACTACAATTATCTAATGTAATATACATTCATATTGAGTACCGTTGTATCTACATAGGAAATACTGATATGACCACTTATTGTTATCATCTTGGCCTTGCTTTTTTCTTCATTGATTTGAGGGAATATTAGTCTTTATTCCATAATACATTGGTAAGTAGACAGTTATGTTCACAATAATAACAAGTATCAGTAACAGCATTATTGACACAGAGAATCTAGATATCATCTATACAAGGTAATATGTAAATGAAGTGAAATCAGACAATTGATAATTGAAACTTTAAGGTCAATATGTAAAATGACCGAAAATAATAATTCAGTCACTGTGAATGATAATCCTTTTATTGACTTCCAGGTATTGCTTATCACACTTCATCACTAATTAAGGAGTGTATGTGTATGTCTGTTTTTGCGCATTTTGTATGGGGCCAGTATTTGATAACGAATTAAAAATAAACATCCTGTAGGATAATAATAAAAACGTTCAGCAAAGATTCACGAATTTAACCTTATGATATGAATGTCAATAAATTGCTACGAATAGGATGAACCTATTACTAGACTTTAAATGTGAAAAGTTTGAATACTGACTATTTTTCCAGTTAATTATGTTCAAAATGTACGTTGCTATGTTATTAAAACAATCCCAATTGATTATACCGAGTATTTTCTTAAATAGTGGTTACACTTTCGAGAACAATTATAGGCTGTTCACTCCAGAGCTCAGTAATTCTTAATAGTGTGGCTCAATTAAAATCAACAAACTCCATAAATCACTACCGTCAACAGTCACCATGCCAATAATTACAAAAGTCTCAAATTCATTAACCTATTTTATTATCTGTATAGTAACATTTCAACAACTCTTTGTAATCCACTCAAAATTAAGTAAATTTCCCTTATTAATCTCGTTCCTATACAATACACTTTACAAAATAACTTTGTACCTTACTTTCGATAGATTCCCGATAGAGAGGACAACAGATAACTTTGTGAACTAAATAATTTTTTCAAATCATTCGTATCAGTTGTTACACTTGAATTATGACTAATAATTGAATTGATCAGTGACGATGTTAGTAATGCTTTTAATTCAGCTTTTAAAGTATCTGATGTAGCGTATGATTCTAATGATTGCGGTTTATCGGAACTTGATAACGGTGGCATGGTTTGTTTCGATCCAATAGACGATGGTGAATTCATTGATGATTGTGGTGATAATGTTGATGAAGATGATGATGATAATGATGATGACGATGGTGACTGAAGTGTTGACAAATTATTCATAGCCGGCAAATCCACTAAGTGTGTTGACTGTGAAGATATTTTAATAGGTGGATCTGAGGGAGACGATTGAAAAGGAACCTTTATCTCTAGTTTTTGACTTTTTTATTTGATATTTGAATGGTGTTTAGTTCATGTGGATGCTTGTAAGATTCGTAATTCACTAGAAAAAAGGTTGTGAAGATTATCAACACATAACTAATATGCTTGAAAAAAGTAGAAAAAAGGATCATAAACAGGACGAAATGTGTTTTACGGACTAGATTGTTAGCTACAATTTATTTATTCTATAAAATTTGTGCCAAATATGATCATATCGAGGCAATCTGCACAAGATGTTCATATGATAACTAAGGTTGATCAAATTCGGTCAAGAATATCAACAAAGGGACGATTCAAACTTATACAAGTTTAAATAAACAGTAGTCGTAGTCAATGATACTGATATTATCTTCACTATAATTTCTTTCGATTAACCGGAATGAATTTGAAAAGTTTCGTTACTTATAAACATAATTGTCAATGAACAAAAAAATGGCCAAGAATACAGAATATTTAATAAATCAATGCGTTTCTTTTTTAATTGGGAGCTGAATACTAACCAGTATACAGTCTACATTGTAAATTACATCCCAGTAATAGCTGTTATATTTCAATGCAAAGTATATTATCACTGTACTTTGGTAAATATCACTTCTGTCATAACAACAATCAAAACGGTTTTAATCTGATCTTATTTCAAATCGTTGTAAAATTGATCAAAATATGTTTATATACTCAAAAAAGAATTATAAACATACTCTTATTCAAATTCTTGATACAAGATAAAGTTTCGAAGCACGATTCATGATCTGGAGTTTTGCTCACATCTTGAGCGGCATCATCAAAAATAACGATCTCATTAGAATGTGATTTATCGTATGCATCATCATGTTGACTTTTCGGTGGTTGTATAGACTTATTAAAAATAACTGGCGTTTCTGCAGATGGTATCGACAATTCATTCTTTTGTAGAGAAAACTGCGATGAAAAAAAGTGAATTCAGTGTTTAAAGTAAGTAACAGTTATTGAGACAAAAATAACGAGTTCAAATGTGGTGGCCAGGTGTAAATCAGTTACCCACCGAAAACAATGTAAGATGGTCATGTTATATAGCGAATCCATTGTGGCTAGATATGTACACTGATAGACAACTGCTCAATGGTTGAGAGGTTAGGCATCTGCACCAGACACTGAAGGTCCTGGTTTTGTGGATGTGCGCTGCAGCTAAGGCGAAACAGTTGGTCAGTACATCCTGGTTTTCAGTAGAGTCGAACTCAGGTTGGTTCATGCCATCAATAAAGAGTATAAGCATTTGGCCACATTGAAAAGCGAGATAATTATTTAAACTAGCCTCCTGAATTATTGTTAGCTGTTATTCCAAATGTATGATTTGAGACACGAGTTAGATCCGTTTTTCATTTATAATCCCATCTCCTAATTGTTTGCCTTTTTGACTGATTTATGATATACTGAACTACTTCCACGGTTTCTTTAATATTTTTTTGTTGCGAAAAATCGCTCATGTTATATACAGTGCGTTATACCTATTAGAGAATGTAGTAAGTTTTGAATCAGCAACTTACAATGATACCCTATGAAAGACAAACATTTTGATGTTGTCTTTTTTTCACAGCTATACTCCTAGAAGTGAAAATGTTTATAAACAACTTCCTACGAACTAGCTAGCTTACTGTCTGGAGATTCTTTTAATTTCCGAAGACTAAGCCGGTCCAAACTTATTATTCTAGTAACAATCATAACTATCAGTACAGAAAGTTAATATTTACCTCGAAAGACTGTTTATCGTCATTTGTGCGCCAACTAGAAGAATGTTTCCCAATTTTAGTGATAGAACAATAATCCATTGTCTGTTTCGAATCATCTGGAGACAAACAACTCACATCTTCATTTTCACTAATTTCCATATTTGTAGCTGAAGAATTTGTGAAGATCTCCGAGTCCATATCAACAGAACTTTGGTTAGATGTATGTGAAGATTGTGAAAGTTCAACTGTAGATTTGTACTTTCCAAGATTTAACAATTTAGCTTTTTGAATCCTTATAAGATCACGAGCACGTTCAGCCAAAACACCTGTTATCGGCTTTGAAATACAATATTTGACAACAGTAGATTCCGTGTTATAGCTACTTTGATTATTTGATGCCATAATTGTGCTTATCTTTTGGGCAACTGCTGTCGATTCAGAAGAAAACACCTATATAAAAAAGAATGCAATGCATATTTATACAGAAAAAAATTATTTTAGTGATTTCAAGGCCAGAATATATAATGGAAAAGTTGGAATTTAAGGCAAACAATAATTTCTGTGTTGCTTAAAACGTTATATTATCCTCAACAAATAAATTAAAATGCTTCGAATTACAGTCTCAATTGATAAAATTCAACAAGGCACTAGCCTTTTGTTTCCAGCTATATTGGTGGTTACAAAGACTGATCATTGGTTATTTGCCGAAACCTGGATAATGCATTTAAGTAAATGATCAAATGATGTAAGCGTTTTTATGTTATAGAGTGAAAGATGTATCCTTTTAAAAGGATTTTGATATTATTGTTTATAATAATTGGGTATTTGAATCATAAATAATGTTAGTGGTTTTTTGGGACTACGGTTACATTATAGCAATATATCCTCAAATTTACTGACTTGACGACAATGAACGGCAGTTTTAATGTAAACGCTGAAAATCATATTAACGTTGAAATACAAATGAAGGTGTAATTAAGAGATGAAAGATGATATAATGTAATTGATATTAGCTTGGTAAAATTTACTTCATATCTCAATCAATACGTTACATTCAACCATCTCCACACCGCAAGCATTTATCAATGTATACGACATGAAACAAAGTCAGAACAAATGGCCAAATTAAAATGTATACAAGTTATTGAAACAAAGTTAAGTATATTACTTTTTAGTTCTGTAATATTTTCCTATAAGAAACTAACTAACTAATACTCTCAAAAATAAGTACCGTTTAATAACTGTGTACATTCCTGCATAAAACATAAAGGAAGCCAATAATTCATGAAAATATAGTATGGTGAAAAACTAGTTTATCAAGTTCACCCCAGACAATAAATTCAAATAAACCATCGAAGTATTAAAGTAGACTCTGATGAAGATAGAGACTGAAAGTGTTGTGTTAGTGAAAGGAGCCCACAGGACACCTTGAGCCTAGATTTCGTGAAGATCAGATCAGTTTCCTGGGTGGAACATTAAAGCTCTTTAAATTTTAATCACTGAGATTATTTCACGTATAATGATTTCTATATACTCAGCGCCCAATTTCTGTCAAACTATTCGTTCAAACTTTGATGAGTGTTTACATAAATGCGATATTCTTCTTCTTACAACACATTAAGGAGTGATATAACTAAACCAACACGTATGCGAACTACACACTGGAAAAATAATCATCTTCATATAAATGAAAGAGATATATCAAGACGACATGGCAATATACCTTTCAGAAAGTGAAAACAAGTTGTCATTTCTACATACTGTAAAAAAACATACTTTTCAGAGCAATCAGAGCATAAATTTATAAATAAAAATATCAAACAGGAAAGCTGACAAATCAGCGTACTTACGTCCAGTGCAACAGTTGTAGTCGGTTGTGATATCAAAGATAATGAAGGTGTTTCACCTGTGTTAGGTTTTGTGTTCAATAAATCTATCGGTAAATTTGAAGAATTTTTTCTATCACTAACTCCATTATCTCCATAAACACAACCTTCAACTATATACATATTTCTAGGAGTTTTATTGTCATTTATTTGAGTAGATTCCTTCAAATCTTTTCTTGACAGTTTAGCTGAATGTGACTGATTTTCATGAAGATCACAAGCCGAGCTGAGTCGAAGTCGATTAATGCGTTTATCAATCATGTCCAATTCTTCACTGTAAACGTATGAACGATTTTGTATAGAAAAATTTAAAAATAATACAATACTGTTTGTAGGTTTCATATACAGTAGCCTCTACAAACTAAAGTGTGACTTCAATTTATGAAGTTGTCGCTCGTTATCCTGAGTCATAATACTGAAATTCATTTAACAAGTACACATTTATGTACTCAGCTTTGAACTACACACACTGTATTAGGATTAGTGATGCTAGTTAGCTGCTTAAATTAGGGTGGAGGAGCACAATTTGAACATTCAATTTACTGGCTGAAACTTCAGTGCTTCAATAGTTAACAGGTCGCTCCAGTCTTAGTCTTATGGAGAGAGAGAGGCTTTCTGATTGAAATTCACCTATTTGTCAATATCAATGTTCAGAGACCTTATGTGATATGATTTGAAGTGGTTTTTACTGGTGCTAATGCATTGATTGCTTATTCCGTATTTAGATTTTGAGTTTTCATATTAATTTATACCTTTTAGATCCTTTCTTTCAAACGATATTTTCAATTTTAATTTTATCTTACTGCTGTAGACATTACAAACACTTTCAGTTCTTCTGGTGGTGTGGCAACTCGAACTGATGTACGTACGTACGAAGTTCTACGCTGTTACTGACTGACTGAGTTCTTCTGGTATATGTCTTGTTATTTCCTCTTGTTGTTTACATGTAGCATGGAAACTTGGATCGGTGCACATAAGTGTACTAGGTACTTTATTGTTAATAACAGCTTGATAGGTATGCGCAATTCTATAAGACTAAACACAATTTTTGTACATAAGGCAAGATTAAAAGTTGACAGTGTAATAAACTGACAAATTATACGATATTTTGATATCAGTGAACCCTCAGACTCTAAATGGTAGTTAAGTCAATACAGAATTACGAAAGAACTAACTGGTATATACATATACATACACTAAGTAATTGTTAACTTATTAAGAAAAAAATAAAAGTCTACTTTATATAGTACAACCGGAAACTGATTGCATAATGTCCTTGACGCAAAGCCCATTGTAGATAACGTAACTTAATTAGCATATATAGAACTGTGCGCTAGGATTCCAGTCACATTTTACGACACCTAGTAATACCATCCAGTAGGCGGTGGGGAATGGGGGTTTATTGAGCGACCTAACGACTGCATGCCAGCTGCTTTAACTATTAAGTCATCGCTTCGTATGCGGATATTTATTGAAAATGAATTTCATAACAAGGTGAACAATCTCAGATAATTTAGACATCCATAAACTGAACCTAAACATTACGTAAATGTTTATATTGTTTCAATGAATGAGTCTTAATCTAGATCCCATCATCTTTAATGAATAATGAACTTTGACTAAATAACTTTTGTTTTGATGGTGTGAAACAATATGAGAATAATCAAGGCAATAGTATTTCTATAAGTTTATCAAAGATATACATCAATCGGAATCAAAATCAATTTTGAATAAATTCGCAGACAAAAGTTTATGCAATATGGAAAAATACTCCTTGATTTAAACATACATTTCATCTTAAATCATTAACAAAATTAAATAGGAAGAATAAAACCATTTCATAGGCAGGTTCATTTTGCTTTAGAAAATTTAAGTATGATTTTTCTCACAAGTGACTAAACATGAATTTGAATTAGAAATCTTATTTGTAGTAAGAATCAGTGATCATTGACATACTTAGAATATAGAGAGATGGGCGAGACTATAATTTATGAACGAACCAATCAGATATAAGGTAATGAGTCTTGAATTTTGGTGCGAAATTCATCCATCCATTTGGTTAAATAGGGTCTTGGCATTATAGTTGATGTCAGTTCGTAATGAAAACTCTAAATCTAATCCCTAACCATAATTCTAACTGGTTTATAACCTTCCTTTAGTCCTAACCAGTAGGTGCCCATTCTCAAGGTCACTTCAGCACCGCTCGAAGGTCATCCATAAACTATGGTCTCACCGGTCACTAGACTTTAAACTAATTATAAATAAAAATAATATATTTTTAATATCCCAATGGGTAGAAAATTAGATTTTCTGACGTTTCGTGACCTAGTGTAAGTCACCTCTTCAGAAAATAAATAGCCAAATTAAAATTAATCCAAGTTTAAATTAATTGTTCAGTAGGTATATCTCAATCAATGGAAGATGTTGGGAAGATCCAGAAAACTCCGAAAAAGGCCAAGAAAGGCTCTGGAAAGACTGAGAAGCATCTTATCCAATCAGCGTTCGCTAGAAGCTTTGCCAAAAACATCTAGAAGTTGGAAAGCCATATTTTGAGTTTCTGGTTGGATGATTACGACGCTGCTACTATGTTTAGAAGCATTCTAGAACTTCCTGGAAAACCCAAGGACATCTAAAATACTATAAAAACCCTATATTTTCTGTACATATAGGAACCTTTGGAATAGTGTTTCTTGCATATTTTGCGCCTTTTCTCTCGTGTTCAAGTCGCTGTGTAGTTGTAGCTTGGGAGTTATTAGAAGAGCTTAAGCACCGAATATAGCGTTCAATTAGCAAGACTTATCAGAAGACACGAAAGATTTGACTTTGATCCTTTATGTAATAGTAGATGAGCGTACTGTTGAAGAATAGAGTATCAGAATAGGACAAAGCATTTATTTCTAATAGTTATCCAGCTTATACTGATTCAAGATGAAAACTAACTCCAAACTGGAAACACTGTTTAACAAATACCTAAAAATGCTTAGGTTTTTAACACTTATTATCGTAAAATTTAATGAGTAATTATATCTAGGTACTGCATAAAATTGTAAAATGTATTTCTAGTAACTATAACCAACAAATGGGAGAAGATGGAAGTCGAGATGAGTGAAATATTAATAATAATAATAATAATAATAATAATAATAATAATAATAATAAAACATACTCTAGTAATTTTTGACGTAACTGCATGTTCTCATCGTCTGTACAAATATCGCTAGCAGAATTATTTTCAAATGATGTTTTACTTAATGCAATAGACTGTGGAGATATTTTTGAACTTCCATGAATTAGTTTAAATGTCTTATTAGGGTTTATATTATGAATAGAATTTGTAAGATTAATTGATTCAGAAAGGATACGACAACGACGAATATCAGGTAGAATTGGTCTTTCACCAGGTCCTAAATCAGTCGAGTTGACAGATTTTTTTCATCAGACACTGGTTCCTCTTCCTCCATGCTCGAATGTTCATCATGATGTGAAATTTCATCAACATCTTTAATATCCTGATCTTTATGAGGAAAATGAAAATGTTTGAAATAAAATATTGAGTTAAATGAATGAAAGAAAATTCAACAAACAATAGTAAGATAGTTTTAGGTAGGCGTAATTAACGGGTATTAAATAAAATGATATCAAGATTCAAGGCTTGATTGCCTCTCTCCATATATATATATATATATATATATATATATATATATATATATATATATATATATATATATATTGTGTACAACATCGTTCATCTTTCAATTCCAATCCTACCAAGATTTCATCAAATCAACTGAGTTTGGAAGTAACATCGATAGAGACTAACATTAGCCGTATAATCATCAACCAAAATACATCAAAAAATAGATTTTGAAAGATATTAGAAACTATTGTGTTATTGTACGCTATTCTTGATGTGCCAACACCTCAATCCAAGCATTTAAATCTAAAAAGGAAGGTTTTTTCGAGAGAAAAGTGGTATACTGACAAGCACACACTATTGGTGATGAGTTAGATACATTTTCTGAAGAAATAGATATATCCCACTGGTTGAAAGTATGGTTTGATTTGCTGAGGGACATGCATCTATATTTATGAATGGGGATTTGGGGGATCCGAAAAAACGAGCTGAAAGAAATCTATTCCCAACTCTTGCAACATACATTTAAAATGTGATTTGATTATCTAACTTTCCTTTGTCTCAGTAATCAGATCAAAATGATCTATCCATGTCAATAAATAAACCACTCATACAAAGATATATGTATATCCTATCGAAAAACTCAAATAAAACAGATGAAACCATCTCAATTCTACTGCTAACTATCAGTAAATTACATATAATCAAAACATATTTATTGACAGCAGTATATAGGCTAACGTGAAAAAATTTAATATGTTGACAAATGGGGGAGAATAATTATATCTGATAAATGGATACACATTAATTACGAAAGATACACTTCGAAAAGATTTCTCCATACGAGCTACCTACCAAATTCTAAAACCCGATAATTTGACAGCGACATTGGTTGTTCAACGAGATTACTATCATTAGTAAGTTTTACATCCTTTACGGATAAGCTTTTTGTTTACATTCCATATCCAACACTTCGTTATATCCATTAATATCGTTATTATTATTATTATTATTATTATTATTATTATCGTTTTCCAAAGTATTTTCTTCAATAACATCGATGTATTCTTCACGATTTAAATTTGACAACTGATAGAGTAATTCAGCCTGGTAAATTGCAAATGAATGATGAATTAAATCTATGACTGAACGGTAGTATATTATTAACGGTCAAACTATTTTACCAAGTGTAAATTTGTGAACTAGGCCTTGAATCACTGAATGTGAATGATAGACTACAGCTACCCCAAAAACTGAAGTAAGTGAATAGAAGATAACAATTTCGATGAAGTTGTTCAAAATTCAAGCTGCTGAGACGCTGCTCGGTGGGAATCAGAGCCAGATAGATTAGAGAGCAAGCCAGTATTGAATAAAAGAGTCTAGTAAGAACTTAACGTCTGTCACATTTAGGAAAGGATTTATGCACTTAATACTAATTGAAATGTGACGTTTTAAAACTTCAAAGCTTTTAAAAAACTGGAAAAAATCTAATATAAACTAGATATTAGAAAAACATAAGCTGATGGTCCAAATTTCAGTGAAAACCAAATCTTATTAGATAAAGATCAGTATTTAACTATTAAAACAATCTGACGTGATTGAATAGAAATATCTAATGGCAATCAGTAGAAAGCCTTGCTCGCTTCTCTATTTGTCACACTTTACTACTTAGTAATATTCAGTAGTTCACATTAACACCGACCATTTTTGTGGAACATGTGCAGTGTGCTTTCCCCATTGTAGCGAATTCTCAGTCATATAAATCTACATTTTCATTTGATATCGACATACGTTTTCTTATATGTAGTGAGATTTCTTTCCTCTCATCATTATTTAGTTTCGATTGTGTTTTGGTCACCAAAAACTACTTATTCGGAGCAACTTGCTCATTCCGAATGGAGAGAAATCGATTCATTTCGTTAATTGCTTGTACTTATTTGATACAGTCGCGTGCTGTCTTCAAAGTAAATGGTACACATTGCAACTTAACTCTTATCCGATTATTTTTAGGACATATATTTCTTTGTTGTTGTGTCCTTGACGGGATTATCGACGCCTGGAAACATTATGGTTCAAAGTTTTGGTACCTGATTTACTTGTTATTATTCATTTGTAAGTACTTGAATCTTTCCGCTGTTAGTGTTATTAACTGGATTTTGATCAGTCTTGTCCAGTACACACATATCCTAAACAGATTGTATCGATATTGTCATGAGGTCACAAGTTCCATAGAATAGATGAATTGTCACTAGCAGTGGAACATAGGATGAACCTCTCGCCTTATCTCAGAATCATCAGTTAAATGTACCTCCATATCAATGCCCATGTCCACACTACAACTCAGACCCAGTAAATTTCGCTCCGAACATCAAACACATCATCTAAAGACCAAAATTCATACAAAAATATCAACAACAGGATAATTCAAAACCAATAATTACATAAACACCATAACTCTTGAACGAGTTAATGCATACCAGGACACAATGACCCAGTAGATGACCGGTTGAGCACTCTAAATGGGAGGAAATTAATTCGAATCCTACTTCAACCATTGACAGTGAGATGTCAATGTATCTCACTGACTGGTCTCAAACAGGACAAAATGTATGGCGTGGATTACAACTGTTAACCATCATTCATCTGTGCTTAAATACTTATTACTCGTGTTAATTTCCTTATTAGTACAGTTTTCAGGAAAACCCCATGTTTCTATTTCGAGATTTTGCACACTAGTTAGTCGTTGTTTTAGAATCTTTGAAAGGATTTTATACTATTTATCTGCACAAAGATTAAGTTCAAATAACAAGTGATAAATACCTCAAAGACTTTTTCCATCCGACGATTTACAACAGCATCATTAAATGGACCACCACCAGGAACATGAGAGCTTTTAACGGTTTCGGAATATAATTGACTTCTACGAAGTGAAGCCTCATTACGCTTGACTTCATCCAGACGATTCAGTAAAGCTTGATAATATTGACGGACACGCTCTCTAAAATGAAATCACAATAGCGAAGCCATTTACACTAGAAGTGCTCTCTCAAAGAAAACTAAAATGTTCTATTCACTGAGAGTTCAATATTAAAATAATTTAACGGATATGTGGTGAAAATTTAACGAATTACCTTATAATCTACTCATGAGAAATTATTTCCTTAGTGTAAGCAAAGTGTAACAAACATTTAAACTGATAAACCAATTATAAAGTCTGATTCTCTCCACCAAACAAAAACTAGATGGAAAGTTTGTTAACTAAAATTAGGAGCAAATTATGCAGGCTTAAGAAATACTGTATATGTTACAACTAGAGAAATTTGAAAAAAGCTACCAGACCACCTGTAGCGTGCTGTTCTAAACAGGATGAAAATTCTCAAACACAGGGTTAACAGACAGACAGAACAAAAATAACTATTTTCAACACTTCAGTTAAATTTCCATAGACAAACGAAGAAGGATTGCTAGATACTTTAGATTGCAAAGTATTTTACTGCTCGTAAAATAACTACTCAAGTTTAATACAAATAAGAGTTTTATTTAGTAAATACACTAAACCAGATAAACCGAAAAAGCTGGAATCATTTCTTTTAAATATGTGATATAGCCGTAATTCCATATAAGAGCTTAAATAAAGTATGAAAATATATGCCCTACTTTTACTGTAGAAAAAATATGATTCAATTCAAATGTCAAGGAAACCGATGATAATATTGCTCGATAAACTAATTTAACATATGTATTCAAGGTTAGTTAGGTGATTGCTGATTACAATCCGATAAAATAAAATGATAAGTTACAACTAAGGAAAATCCTAACTACTACGATAGCACTTCAGTATAAAGTTGGATGGTGGCTAGCAGTGGAATCTAGAATGCGTGTTTCATCCCATTCGAGATTTACCTCCATTCTATTATTAATTTTCATACTGAAAGTCAATCTCGTTATGAATTTTAAAATAAGTGCGTTCATTTACATTTTTTTGCTGGTTGGAGATGTCGGTAAGAAATCTTTTCACCTCTGATACCTAGACTCACAACTCAACACGTTAACCTTCGGAGGATTGTCTGCTAGTTTGTTGATTTGTGAGTCAATTCGTGGGCAAAGGATATTATTTGGAATGACTTGATGCTAATGGATACGTTTATCAGGATATAGTTCACCTTTAAGTAAGCGTTCCTATATAAATACCTTGGTGTTGATATATGCATTTTCCCGAATAAGATAAAAATGTACATTTTAGATTCAGATTAACAATAAGAATACATTGGTTTATTCTTTCAGTCAATCGTTTATTTCGTACTCACAAGCTTATTCATGCAAAGATCAATGTTTTAAAAACACTGCAGCAATAATCATTACACAAAAGTCGCATCAACAGCGTTTACACTTAAATGTATGTACATCTGAGGTTGTTGTGATATAAGTGTAATTTGAAGAACATGTACAAACTCACACAGCAAAAACTCAACAAAATCCACTCCTTTAGGATTGAAACTACGAACTGATTTGAACTGGAGCTAGACAAGAGAATCCAGGATGAGCATTTAGTCCTATTTGGGATGCATTAGTTACATGGTGGTGTTCACACTGAAACTCAAACCCAGTACCTATCACTTCAAAGATCAACGAGTTATGTACTAAGCTACTGAGTTGCTTTCAAATAAAAATTGAGGCGCCTGCTTAAGATCTTTATACACCCACAGAGACTGATTAATTTGAATAAAATGGAGTTTGTCAATGTGAAAAATTGTAAGAGATTGACTGAGTATCAACAATAAGAAAGCTAAGACCCCTACTAGTACAACCTACGTGTTCAAAATACAGTAGATAAAACATGGTTTGAACTAATAGTAGATTTTGACGCGTGAACTCATATAACAATCAAATTTTACACAAAGTCCGGGAAAAAGCAATAATCTTAGTTAAATGTTTGTTTAATTAACTTGTGTTGTTGAACTAATGGTGTTTATGAGTCATAAACATAATAATTTTTAAACCTTATGAATCGCTAGGTTTCGGAGCAATGATGAAGTGATGTCTTTAGTTATAAGAATAATTAACGGGAATATAAAGTGTTTAACATTCTTTAGTGTTAATGTTTATTTAACGAACATTCACCAGTGATCAATATTATTTCAAGATATTAGATCATTTAAACTAGAACCAAACAGCTTTTATCACCACTGAATTAACTACTTCTATGAATTCGGTGTTCATCTTGTTGTGCTAATTAGGTATGGCAACTTGAACCGATGCACATATGTGCCTGGTCCTACGTTGTAGCTGACTGACTGACTAAAGTAAATAAATAAGCTATTTAAATTTTAAAAGCCTTTTCAACACAAACACCATCTTACTTTCTCATTGCTTGACGTCCACGCATATCAGCTTTGATAAGATCTTCACGGGCATGAATGGCATTTTCACGCTCAACTGCTTGTATACGTTGTTCTTCTTTGCACGCTGAAATCGCAGCACTTTGAGATCCAATATCTTTTTCTTCGTCAACTTTGTTGTTTTTAATAACTACTTTGGATTCCACATTCTGTGTATGTATTGTGTTTCTAGCTTCAATGTCATACACAAGAACCAAGGGTTCACAAGCTATCAAGGAAGATAAAAAAGGATAAGTATTTAAATACACATTATTGAAAGGCTAATTAGGAATGGTGAGACGTTTTTCAAACACCAGTTAGCTAAATACAAAAATAACTACTTGATTCATCTGTACGAGAAACTAAAAAAGCTAATTTGGGAAAGGTGAAGACTGCCAGATATTCGGATGACTAGGTACTTAAAAATATACAAAATATTCAATCAACGTAAAAGCAAAATATATGGCCAATATTATAATATATACCTACCTCTCAGAAAGATAAACGACGTATTTATCCTCCTGCTACCTACTGATTAACATAAAATGAAGCTTTCGGCGAAGGATCCTAGAGATCACGGAGTTCAGACTAGCAGCGTTTTAGAAAGTTCAGCAACACCAATTAGTGTAAAAGACAGTTATTACTGTTTCAGTTGGATGTATTGTGAAAGCCCTATTCATAATCACACTAAAGTGTAGATCAAGGTAGATAGTAGGTGTGAACACATCACATTCCCAAATATCCCTAGTTTTTTCAAGTTCCTCGATTAGAACCTTAAACTCAACCGCAATGACGCTGGTATTTAAATTATTCATTCCACATTGTCAAGCAGACCCAATTTAAAGGATAACATGAGTAAGTTGTCATATTTAAGAAGTCACAAATCCTCTAGTTTAATATCTCCTAATAGACTACAGAGGACTTCTGTAAGGAATATGACATTTTCTGAAATGAACATTCATAGTGAACTGTGATTATTCAAGTCCGAGAACTTAGATTGCCTGATAAGTAATGATATACGTTCAGCGATAACTCGTATGAAAGAATTTTATACGTAAAACTGACTCCATTGTGTTCATTTCTTTCTACTTTGTGTAGATATTATCTGGTTGTGGTCTATAATTTTGGTTTTTGATTAGTTTGGCAATTGAGTCGTAAACGTTACGCACTCTGATATATCGTTCTAGTGCCCGGTTTAGAATTTAACGTACTAAACCTATTGTCTGTTGGTCAAGTACTGCTGTCTAATATCGCAGATCAATATCCAGTATCAGCTGTGTAGAGTCACAAATGCGAATCTAATTTCTCCTGTTATGTCACAGTATGTACCACGTTACACATCAACTGGTCTTGAAAGACCTTATACTGACATTTGGTTTGTCATTCGTCATATGTATGGACACAAGACACAAGAAATTAATTCCAAACCATTTAGTATAATGCTCAGACATACTAACAGTAATATAAAACGGGTCATAGATATAAATGTTGGTCAGTTGTCACTAAAAATGAAACCAGTTTGTATATTCGGAATAAATTTATGAATAGTGATACTAATTAACTTTTCACAGTTTCTGAGAACACCTAACGCCGTTCTTTTACGAGTACTAAATGTTGTTAATATAGTCAATGAATTTGCAGAATATGTAGAGAATTAGAAGTATTTTTCGAATATATAAATATCAGTAATGCAAGTCAACTACAACTGATTTTTACATCAAAGGTCGAAACTAAAATATTACCAATAATTTCACGGAAAATAACCAGCAATTTCGTGAACTAATAAAACTAATTAACAAGGACTATCATACCGAAGGAAGGTTTTAGAATTTCTTCAGATAGAATACCCTTAGGTGGTGGTAGAGAAGCAATTAAAGCAGCTCGTTTTTTCTCAGTATTTCTAACTTCTTTAATCCTTTCCTGCGTTTCATGTTGTGCAAGGTTTTGAGTTAGCTTTTCTTTATGCAGTTTGTCCACAGCTATATTAAATCGATCTTTAGCTCGTCTCTGGGCTACGGACAGATTCCAATAGGTTTCTAAGGTAGGATCATTCTAAAATAGCCAAAAACGGATACTTAGTAGCTTGATAAATAAAAAAAGCTTATAAGGTTGGCAAACCTTCTATGATTATTTGACTTGCAAACGGAATAGAATATTTTATAATTGCAAGATGTAACATAAATTACTTTCGGAACAAAAATGATCAGTGCGAAAATATGAATGAAATCGTAGTGACGAAATACTAAATTACTGCAATCCTGACAGGTTTACTCCTGAGATTTTTAAGGATGGTGGTCCAGTATTAGCAGTGAGATTAACCGAGGTCTTAGGTAGAATTTGGGAACTGGACGTAATCCCATCTGACCGGTCTCAATCACTGATTGTGCCAGTCTATAGGAAAGGACAAAAGTCCTCTTGTGACAATCATAGAGGAATCACTTTGACTAATATAGTGTCTAAAATATTAGCTTCACTAATACTTCGACGCCTAACGAAAGCTCGTGAAGAACAGACTAGAGAAAATTAGGCTGGTTTTCGACCTGAAAGTGGTTGTATAGACCACATATTCACACTACATCAGGTTCTAGAACACAGGAACACATTCAGACGCCCCACAATGGTAGTATTTCTCGACCTTAAGGAGGCATCGACTCTGTTGATCGTAAGGTTCTATGGCAATGTTTGTCACTGAAAGGAGTATCAAAGAAGTACATTAACCTTATACAGACTCTCTACTCGAACACAACTGGTAGAGTGTGAGCTTATGGCGAACCGTCATCAGAATTGATTACCTCAAGTGGTGTTCTTCAGGGCTGTCCACTCTCTCCATTCTTGTCTAACTTTGTCGTCGACGTACTTTCAGAGATAACACTTTCCTCGTCTTAATTTCCAGGGGTTGAACTTCTACCGGGAGGTTCACTTGTTGACTTAAAATATGCTGATGACAGTTTTATTTGGTGAAGATGCTGACAAAATGCAGAGTCTTCTGACCACTCTAAGCAACAATGCAAGCATGTTCGGGATGCGATTCTCTCCCTCGAAATGCAAAATGTTGCTTCAGGATTGGGTTGCATTGACACCCGAACTAATGATAGGGAGTGAAGTAATTGAGCGTATCGATCACTTCACTTATCTTGGAAGTCTCATCAGCCCTTGTGGTCTGGTGTGTGGCGAAATCTCAGCACGGAAACAGAAGGCTCGACTAGCTTTTGCCAACTTGCGTCATTTATGGCGTAGGCGAGGTATCCGTCTATCAACCAAAGGACGTGTTTACTGCGCAGCATTTCGTTTCGTCCTACTTTATGACAGTGAAACATGGCCGGTAAGAGTAGAGGATATCCGTAGGTTACTAGTACTTGACCATAGGTGTCTTCGAAATATTGCTCGTATATCCTGGGACCATCGAGCAAGTAATCTAGTTGTTAGAAAACGGGTACTAGGTAAGGATGGCGAATCAATTGATGACGTAGTGAAACTTCATCGGTTGAGATGGCTGGGACACGTGTTACGTGTGCCCAACGACCGACTGCCTTGACGTGCGATGTTCAATGGTATAGGAGTAGGATGGAAGAAAGCTAGAGGCGGCCAAACCAAAACATGGCACAAGTCCATGAAGTCACTGATAAGTGGACTGAGTCATGTTGGTAGGTGTAGACTACCTGGTTGGGGACCGCGAGATGATAGCAACCGATGGTTAGAGACCCTGAATGACATGGCTCAAAATCGTTTGTAATGGCGCAGGTGCATACACCCTTTGTGTTCTCCCAAATTTTGATCTCCTTATTCCTCCTTGTCTCTTTTTTTCTCTTCCCAAATTTATTTCACTGTATTATACTCTTTAATTAACATCTCCAAACACTAATCTTCCCGACTACTGCTTATATTCTTATTACCTCTACCACTACAGGATTTGAACCGACAACTGCGTCTCTGTGCTAATGTGGTGTGGCAACTCGAACTGATGTACGTACGTACGAAGTTCTACGTTGTTACTGACTGACTGACTGACTGACTGAAATTACTACAATCTCCACAAATCCCGCTTTCTGAAAATATTTGATTCCCGAAATTTGTAAGTGTGATGAATTTCAAAGGTTCGAAAGTTTCATTTAGTCTAAAGACATATTTAAATAATTAAAGATCGGAAATAAGTCAGCCACTTAGATTTACAATGTAAAAACACCAAAAAGATAAGATTCAGTTATTCATCCAGATTTTAAAAAAACATAAGCTGATGGTCCAAATTTCAGTGAAAACCAAATCTTATTAGATAAAGATCAGTATTTAACTATTAAAACAATCTGACGTGATTGAATAGAAATATCTAATGGCAATCAGTAGAAAGCCTTGCTCGCTTCTCTATTTGTCACACTTTACTACTTAGTAATATTCAGTAGTTCACATTAACACCGACCATTTTTGTGGAACATGTGCAGTGTGCTTTCCCCATTGTAGCGAATTCTCAGTCATATAAATCTACATTTTCATTTGATATCGACATACGTTTTCTTATATGTAGTGAGATTTCTTTCCTCTCATCATTATTTAGTTTCGATTGTGTTTTGGTCACCAAAAACTACTTATTCGGAGCAACTTGCTCATTCCGAATGGAGAGAAATCGATTCATTTCGTTAATTGCTTGTACTTATTTGATACAGTCGCGTGCTGTCTTCAAAGTAAATGGTACACATTGCAACTTAACTCTTATCCGATTATTTTTAGGACATATATTTCTTTGTTGTTGTGTCCTTGACGGGATTATCGACGCCTGGAAACATTATGGTTCAAAGTTTTGGTACCTGATTTACTTGTTATTATTCATTTGTAAGTACTTGAATCTTTCCGCTGTTAGTGTTATTAACTGGATTTTGATCAGTCTTGTCCAGTACACACATATCCTAAACAGATTGTATCGATATTGTCATGAGGTCACAAGTTCCATAGAATAGATGAATTGTCACTAGCAGTGGAACATAGGATGAACCTCTCGCCTTATCTCAGAATCATCAGTTAAATGTACCTCCATATCAATGCCCATGTCCACACTACAACTCAGACCCAGTAAATTTCGCTCCGAACATCAAACACATCATCTAAAGACCAAAATTCATACAAAAATATCAACAACAGGATAATTCAAAACCAATAATTACATAAACACCATAACTCTTGAACGAGTTAATGCATACCAGGACACAATGACCCAGTAGATGACCGGTTGAGCACTCTAAATGGGAGGAAATTAATTCGAATCCTACTTCGACCATTGACAGTGAGATGTCAATGTATCTCACTGACTGGTCTCAAACAGGACAAAATATGTGTCCTGTATTCCTTTGCAAGTCACAGTTCGTCAGTTACATAGATTTATCCCGGTTATAGTTACCAGGATAGGGAACACAAGGTCGGATAGAATACCCCGACGTTATGTCTCGCAAAAATAAAAATAGCAACCACTTGCTATTATATAACCAATATTTCAATCTTTTATCATTCATTTCTCAACTGATAAGCAATTGAAAACCACAATTGTGAGCACATAGTTGCTTTTGCTACAAAGTATAAGTCCACATATTTATAAAATTGACTATCGTAACTATAGAAGTCTATCCGACTAAGACTTGAGTAGTGATGCAGTGAGAATATTAGCAGTTCGACTACGTAATCTACTTCATCTACTTAGTCGAATCGAATGAGCAACTGGATTGTCTAATGAAACCATTCTCACTAACAACATTTCAGGGAGTCAATATCAGTTAATCTATACATATAGATGCACACCAGCAATTAAAATGTGGCATGGAAGTGACAAGGCTGACCTTCTGGCAGAACAGTACTCTGTGACATTTCAATCGACCCACACAAACTATATTGATGAAAACCTAATTTCTATCTGCACAGGACTTTCAGAAGTGAATCTGAGCGCTGAATTGGTGTAACAAAAAACGCAGCATCTAAGAAAGCGATACTTATCCTTGTTCGGATGTGGTCCATTCTGCTATACTGATAGAAGGAGCTTCAAACTTGACAACACTGCTTGGCGTGATGTTCTGACATTCGCTAAGCAGAAGCACGCTATCAGAAATTGGAAGTTGTCTCACATCACACCAGTTTTTAAAGGAGGTCGACGCAGCGAACCTTCAAGATACCGACCGGTGGCACTTCTCTCTGTACCCTCAAAAATCATTGATTCCCTGACATAATGCGGTATGTACGACTATCTATTAACCATATCTATGATTCACTGCTACTACGTACGGAGACCCATCAAGCAAAAGCTTCTCTTTCGTCCAGAACCATTGAAACACTTGGGGAAAGCTGTAGATGGAATAACAGACTAAAAAGGCAGTAGATTGAATGAATGACACAATTCAGCTACGAGACGCTACCTATGTTTATTTTTACATGAAAAAATTAAAACCTCATTGCATTAAATCGTTACGACAGTGACTAAAAACTTGGTACGTTTAAAAACGTTTAAAAAATATGGCTAGCAAAACTTAAAAATTGGTTAATGGGGAAATTAATTTAACGGTTAAGAAATCAAGCTTGCCCAATTTTCCGCAGATCTATGGCCAATTCCGTACTGATTCATAACATTACAGTATTCATCCTTCTTTGCTTCTAGAAGTTTCATATCTTCTCTTACATGCTTAATCTGAAAAATGAGAAAAAACTGATTACTTGGAGATCTCTTGCAACAACATCTGATAACTGCTGTTTCTTAGCATTGTATAACATTCTAACTTTGGTAGCATTTCTTTTGGCTTGCATTCGGACCTTTATTTATGTTTATCATACATCAATACTACCTGCAGAATTCTTAACCTTTTTCGACGTTCGATTTCGTCACGTTTCACTTGCTGTATTTCTGAGATGGATGGACTAAAAAGACATAGAGGATACTCGGGCATGACCAAAACTCAGAAGCCAAAACAAACTTTGAAGATGCATTAACACAGCGAAGGTCATACCGCGAATCTTTTATTTGAAAAAACAAAAGTCACAAAAAAATAAATGTTTTTAATGATTTCAGTTAGAATAAATTATTTTCTCCTTTGATTCGATTCTGTATTGACATCGAACTGCTGGTGTTCTATACCGAGAGACAAGCACAGTTATCGTGTAGGGAAATATTAGTAAATTAGAATAAAATACTGTCCTGATTCCTTTAGAATATATCTAGTTTCCTCTTGTAGTGCATTTTAAAAATTTCTTTGATCACGCCAGCCAGCAGCAAATTCCTGGACTTGGCAACTCGTAATGATTAGTGGATATACCTATAGTTCAGTTTCCTCTGTTGCGCCCTTAAATTCTATTTATTCTTCCTGAAGTTTTTATTAAGACTGTGCTTTTTATTTATTTTAAAGGATGTCTAATAATAATAATGTGATAGGTCGTTCGAAAGCTGCCTTTCCGTTCTCTATATCCTAACGAGTAAACAACAACTGATGTAAGACACTAAGTTTGAATTTACGTCAACGAAAAGATTTAGTAGTTCTTTTGGGCGTGTAAAAGAGTAGTTCTGTCCTTCTGAAGTGAATAACTCAGAATTCGATAAAACGGCGAGACCATAATTGATGGACGAACCAACTGGATTTAGGATAACACAGCGCGTGCCTGTTATGAATTTAAGTTGCTGTCGACTTTTACCCTGTGCTAATTGTTGTGTCCTTGACTGGAAAATTAGAGAGCAGCGTACTTATCGATCGATTCAATGACACGGAAAACACGTACGGACGGCCTAGAGTATCTATTGGTCTCGTTTCCCTGTCTAGCCCAGTCAGTTGAGTCCAGAACACAAGTCACAGCCTCGGAGATATGAATCATTATATTTCAAACATACTTTGTTTATATACCAATCAAGCATACCACATCGTACCATAAAATAGAAAACAACATTTTGTACAATATTCAACAAGTGAACAGATACCGACCAATAGGAAATGTCCATTTAAAGTCCAAGGACACCATTGGACTAAACATGATAATTATTGGTCTATTCTTCCACATCCACAACAGTGCCATTTAAAAAGCACAGAGGTATTATTTCTCATTGATTTAAATTTACTGTTCTGATCGCGAATTACGCAACAAAACTACCGCTTGCACTTTAATTAAATTTATTTCAGTTAATTTGATATTATTATTGTTTATTTTCATTCTGTTTTTGTGTATTTGTTGCATCAAAGCAAACGTGGTCGACTTCGACTTTATTTATTTAGTTAAAGTTTGAGATTTTTCTTACATATACATTTTGTGTTACCATTCTTAGTTGATTTCAAGATGATCGGCTCCGCTCACAAATGTAGATGGCCATATTGCTTATTCTCTGTGGAAGAAGGAATTCAATGTGATGAGCTTAAGAAGTGGTTCCATAAGATGTATACCAGCTTAAGCCATCAGCCTATAAAAGGTGCTCCAAGCCTAACTCTCTTTGGCTCAGTATGTTTTGTTGTTCGAGCAAAAGATCACTCCTCTAGGAAGTAATTAACTTCTTGGTGTTGGCTGATACGAAGGTTTACAAGGGTTGCTCTGGTAACATGGGCACTGATAGCGAAGATTGCGTCAGTGTCGTAAGCGCTGTCATGGCACATGCCAGACACACAATCTTGCAACACGCAATTGATTTTTCTATCCCGAAACAATAGACTAGCGATGCGCCATTAGGTATTGGTGGCCAAGTTGCTATAGCAGCGACTGATGATCTAGACAAAACTATTACCGTCCCGAGTAGCTCTAATGTGGATGCTGCAAATGATGGGAAAGAGATGACGCGGAAACGTAGAAGAGTAGGAAAGATAGCCAAAAATGACGTCCGTTTACTTCGAAAGTCCTTGGTGGACTCATTCTGCGTGTCAGATTACTTCGCCGAAATCCCAAAGTAAGGTCTTATCAAACATTGTGGTGAGTCATTCACTTGACTCCCACGACTCTGTTACACGGGAAAACTAACGGTAGGATGCCAGCAGTTAACAGGCAGGAGCGAACACTAACTTCAAAGAAGTCGGAATCTAGAGGAGCCGGAAGACAAAGACCCTGCTAAAAGACACGCACACGATCGGCAGTTAGTGTAATCTGTGATCAGAAATGTACTACCTGGAGGGGTCTTAGGGGTACACATCAAGAAAGTAATACGAGTCGGTATATGGGTTGGAGGCGAGACCGAACCAAGAAGGATCTTGAAGTTGTCACTCGATAATTATGAAAAAAGTGTCGTAAAATTGAATAACACCATAAACTCGTGAATCAAAAATTCATCTCCGACCAGATTGGCCGCTTGAGGATCGAATCAAGTGGAAAAATGTTTCGAGGCTAAAGGTAGCTTTCGTGTTACTGATAGAAGAAACCAAACTAGTAACCGATGGGTCTTTACTTAGCTTTTCGCGCAGTCACAGAGGAGCGTGGGATTATCTGTTCAGACAAACAGAGCTTCTCAACATGCAATATAAGATAATAGGAAATATAATGAATATACAAAATAAGGAAGTGAATGATAACAAAGACTATCACCAAAGATGTCAATAACTCAATTTAGAACATCTTTGGATCAGACGTATCAAATTGAATCTTGTCTTTATCTACCGGCTTATTAACGGTATTTCCTACTCTTCGGTATCCACCCCTTCATACCTTATGATATCATCCCACAATCTACGCAATAAGGAGAATATTCTAGCGATTCCAAGAGCTCACACAAACTTACGTCAGAATTTTTTCCTTATTCGCTACTCAACCATGTGGAACAGACTGCCAGTGAACCTCCGTTGCAGTGAAACTACAACCCGGTTCAAAAGTCTCCTTGATGATTTTCTTTCCGAAAGTGGATTGTCACCTATTGAATATCAATGTATTCAATAATGATTTATACAAACAAGGTCCGTCATCCATTTAATTGCTTGAAAAGCAAAATAAAACCTTTAAATCTTTCCACATCTATTTTATTTTATTTCTATTTATCTTAATATATGAAATCTGATTATGTTCATGTTTATCATTATTACCGTTATTATTATCATTATTGTTCCCCCGACACATTAGATATTCTTTTTATATCTCCTTATCCTTCTAAACATATTTAACTCCAGATTGTCCTTTAAAATCAATTTTGACTTTCATAGCATCAATCTTAATTATTATTGCACAAATGTTTATACAAATATCCGGTTTCACTCTGTACACTATTACATAAATCTTAATGTATTCATCCGAGTGCTTTAACGGATTGTTATTTTATTTTTCTAACTTATTGGTTTCCTTCTGAGGTTGATATTTATTACACAATTATTATTCTTATCATGGATCAAAACTTTTCACTAGGTGTTCACTTCTTTTCTCTCTTCTTTCCCTCTAAATAAATATTCTTAAGATTACGAAGTTTGTAATTAAGACAATAACTTGTGTTACACTTAAATTAACTTCTCAGACCCATTTTATCTTCACTACGCATATATGTCTCATACATATTGATATTTCATTATCCTTTCACTCAATTGAGACTTTCATAGCATCACTCCAAACTATGACTGCACAAACATTTATTCTAGCGTCATATCTTACTACAATAATAAGTTGTTTTTTCTTAATTATTTTTTGTTACTAATTTGACGATATATACATAGTCGTTTGTTCCTGTTTTATGTTCATAAACACGCCAGTTAAACTGTTTACGTACTTCACGTCTCCTTTATTTCTATTCCCTTATTTTCTGCATTTCCTTCTTTAGACTCAATTCAATATTGTCAATTACACAGACTCGATTTATTATTATTAATATTCTACTATTATTGCTCAAATTTTTTTTAATGGCAAGTAGAATGCTGACATTATTGAAAATTGTGTATTATTGCATTTTTGAAGAAACCCGAAATGGTTTCTTCACAACACTTATGTACCCACAAGATGTTTGTGAATAATAATAATAATAATAATAATAATAAAGTGAGTTGTACAGAGCTACCATGTCTGCGAGGTTGAGCCATGCCATCCTATCAATTCGGATTTATTCGATCCACTGTTCCCGCCTTCTCTATCGTTGTGTTTTTCTCCGCGTTAGATATTGAATATCTATTTTCCCAGGTGTCTCGTGTTCAGCTTTAAGGATTGCATGTTTAGGGCCTAATGCCATTACATATGCATCATTTAAGTGTGAATATCTAAAATATCCACGATATATGTAGAAATACCATGGATAAATCTCACACTACTTACGAACGACAGTTGATATATCATAGCCTTAAATCTCCGAAACCATTGTTTTTGTATGTTAAACGGCGAACAAAATGTAGTTATGATATTCCCCCCTTACTGTTACACGAAAATTCAGACTTACTAACTGAATCAGAATAGGCAAAAGCTGAGACTTTTCCAAACAACTTTCGTGAAGTCTACTCCACGCGCATTGCTACAAATACTCGTCTCAAGCACACTGACATACCAGCCATAGGATCTGTATTTTTGACTGAGGAAACTGTTCTTCCATTGATTAATAACCTCAAACGTTGTATGATACCGGACCCTGACGGGTTACATCCACGACCACCGTTATCTCTTGTGACATCATTTCAAAACCGCTCGCAACGCTCTTCAACGTGTCTTTTCCACTCGCCTAAGTCCCTAGAGACTGGAAAGACGCTATAGCCAGTCCAATATTTAAGAATGGTTAGAGACAGATCGTATTTAAACTCCGGCCTGTCAGCTTTACCAGCATCGCGGTTAAGTTACTTGAAAAGTTAATTCGGGTGAAGTTACTGGGTCACATATATTCACACAATCTGTCGACTCCTAAGTAACATGGGTTTCTTAACAAGAGTTTGTGCTTGACTAACCTACTTATTGCGAGGGAGGATTGGAGAGCAGCCATAGATAAAAGTCTAACTGTCGATGTGATATTCATAGACTTTGGTCTTATGTA